ATAATATTATAATATAATAATATAATAATATAATAATATAATAATATAATAATATAATAATATAATAATATTATAATATTATAATATAATAATATAATATATCTGTTACGGGTCGTTTCGTTAAATAAATAAACCTCGACTCGATAATATTCAATAAAATCACAACTCCAACCGTCTTAAATCGATTAGAATAAAACGCATTTTTTATCATTTCTATTTCTATAGCCTCTATTTTATTCAGTCTTAGTCTCATTCTATTATTATCAACTATATATTCCATATTTATCGATATTCCACCTTATTTTATCTGCGATCAAGATCCACGGTATTTTCAAAATGAAACAATTTTGCTATCGGGCCTCTTTTCAAAAGCAAAGCATCGAATATGCGCGCGGCAACCGTTTTTGAATCGACCTCTATAAAGGCCGCGGGGACGTTCGATCGTTGAAACACGCCAAATGCGTGAAACTCGCGTAGGTTCCCGCATTTTTTCCCGCCACCCACGTGCACGAAACGGGTTTCCTTTGGACGCGTGCGAATGCCAGGCCATTCACTTAGCCACGCGGCTAGAAAAATCGCCGACATTGTTAATTACGATCCCGGCGACGAACTCGAAGCCAGTTACGCCGTACTCGACGAACGGAAAACCATAATAATGTCTCTAACACTAAATCGAAATCACGAAATGAACATTTTCATCGAACCTCTTAAAAGAGAACGCATAAAATCTAAATGTTACACGCACTTGGAATTTCCCTTTAATTAATAAAAACGTTTAAGGTCACGGGCCGTTACGTTATTTGAAAATTAACACGCCATTCACGCCTTTATGGCGTGCGCCATAAATCCACGAGACGCAGAAAATTGCGTTGCGAGCCGAGGAAAACATTTTTCCATACGAGGCGTTCGATCACGCGAAAAGTATGCGAGAAAGAGAATTTTCTCGGTCGTAGAATGAAGCGAGACAAAGGCGGAGCGTTTACCTGTTTCGACGTTTGAATCGCGTCGTGCTCGATCCGGTGCGCATTGAGTCATAAAGTGGGCACCGAATGACACGAAACACGCGCCATCCTCGGAACGGATGGCAGCAGCCTTCGTCGGCGTTTAAAGAACAACAGTTATGTAAATCGCGTACACTCGCGCACGTGTCGCCGTCGGAGAATTATTAAACGGCGAGTAATTCGCGTTCAATCCGACGCGAATAATGCGTCGATCAGTTTTTCCGATCCCGTGTAAACATTTAATGATTCTCTTACCTTGGCGGTTCCGCGCCGTTCCTTTCTCGCGAACACGAGATGCGTTTTACGCTACTAAATCACTTTCCGACGTGCATACACACACACACACACACTTTCGGCGAAAGATACGACAATGTTGCTCCGATTGGAATGGAAGATCGACGCGGATCTGCGGGATGTATTTTCTCGCGGACGCGAAAACACGGGACAAATTGAGAGACGCGCGGTAAACACACCGGATTAAAAACTCGCACGCGAAAACTCAACGGTCCGTGACACCTGTTGCATTGACAAGCACAAACTGGAATGTATGACACAAATTTTATCGAGCCTGCGCACGAGCCACACTTGTGCCGCCATCTGGCGGCGGAGTTCGGAGTCGAGCGCCGCCATTGTGCCGGGGCTCCGGTGACCGTACGCGACACGGACGAGGCGTCGGTGCGACGTTACCGATGGCTCGCGAATTACGGCGCGTTAGCAGGAAGCGAGTATATTGTATAGTTCATTCCTGCTACGGGTGCTGAATAGTATTTATGGAATATATGGTACAGAAATACTAATAAGGACACTTAATAAGTACAGTAATATAATAAAGTACTAATATAAGTACAAATACTAATAAGTACAGTAATACTAATAATTATTTTTATGGAGTGTTGTACTATTATTTCTAATAATTATAATAATATAATAATATGTTTGTAATAATATATAACGTTAATTTTATAGGATTTACAGTTCTAGCATTATTTTTAGATCTTGACGAATAACAGTTCACAAGATATATTTATTTCGAATATATTATATTATTTTATATTATTTTCAATATATCCTCACGAAAGTATTATGAATTAATTGAGTAGTATAATTAGACGTAGTAAAAACAATAATCTTTTGCAAATACGTATCTTAGAAATTGTTCAGAATATAGTCTTTATAGCATACTCCAAAGTTATCAGAATCGACTCACGCATTCTTTTAAAATTTTCTATTTTCCATTAATAAACTAGAAAAATTATTCTTTTCTAATTTAACACATTACTTTTCCGATCTGCCCCGATTTATATTACTTTCTAATGGTAAGATAAAGTGTTTAAAACAAAAGCCGGAGAAAAATGAACGCATCCAGGCCAAAGTCTGCAGATATTTGTTAATATAAATTTATAAACTAAAAATATTTAAGAGCATGCTTTTTTTCTATAGATCCCTTAGGTCTTAGACTAGTTACTATTATTATTAGACCATTACATTTTGCATTAAAATTGTAATTAACATTGTAATATAAAGATTTCCAAATTTTTCACAATTTAATATGTATAAAAAATTGAAAATGGACTTTTGAACAAGTCAACGAGAATAGCCACGTAATTGTTGAATGAAAGTATTTCAAATAAAAACTTCTGTAGCTCAGAGACCATTTCTGCGTTGCTTGTGTTAGAATCCGTACCACGGTTGCCAGGTTTGTATGTTAGACTCCAAATTTGGAGAAGTGGGGCAGGCAGTATGGTAAAGCGACTCTCGCTGCCCTCCTCGTACGGCGCAGTCGGAAACAGTCGAAGTCACTCTGAGAGCTAAAACGTGTCCCTATTGTATTTCTCGTTATATCATATAACATATATCATATTTATATATATATATATATATATATTTATATTATATATTATTTATATTAGTATATTATATTATTATATTATATATATATAAATATGATATATTTAGGTCAATGAATTGACCTTGAAATGCACTATCTTCTTACATAAAAAGATATACATAAATTGTCTACCTAAATCTATCTCGCAACAATTATTCTCGCATTTAATGAAATTAAGTTTGAGTGAGTTCAGATTTTCCAGTACTTTTTTTGCTTCAAACTAATACAAATGAAACATAATAATAAAATAAAGCGTGCTGTATCCAAAATGATATAACATTCCCAACTGAACCGGAGAGCCATTACAATTCTGTTTCTGTGATAAGTTTATAACAATTAATAAGAAACAATAGTATTTGAATTCTATTAAACGTTTATTACCTCATCGATAGAATTTCCAAATTTTGAAGCATATTTTTTTTTTACAATGACCGCTGTATTACGCACACAGAGAGCAATGAACGTTATTAGCGTTAAGTTGAAACCGGTGAATCTTTCGCCTTTTTTTAAAAAGTGACACGCACAGCACGGTACGCGCGCCGATCATCAAAAAGAAAAAACAATACAATATAACAATAGAATGGACGCATTTCTTACAAGATATATCTGCTCTTAGGAATCTAAAATCGTGATACAATTTTGTATTCGTGTGATAGAGTCGACGATTCCTTGCTTCGTTACGTTAATTTTTCTCCGAGGCACACAATTAAACAGTCATACACGTATACACCGCGCGCAGGGAAATACTTGCGTCGATAGTTCGCCTCTGCGCGTTGAAGAACATTCTTTCGCTCGTTTCTTTTTTACTTTCACACACGCACACGCACACACTCCGAGCCACGCACTTTTACAATTTCGTTTCTTGATTTTGTTCTTTTTTTTTTAAAGTCTCTTTAATGAAGCGATTATCCGCGTTGCGATACTCGGAAATATATATTTACTTCACGTTCGCTCTAATAATTAAAGGGTTCGATGTTTAAAAAAATGACCTCTTGTCAAAAAGTTCGAGAATCGAATTGACTTAAAATGCATATTCAGAACTGCTGTAAATAAATGAACAACCCATCTGGAATTTAATGTTACACAGCCAGCAAAAATTCCACTTTAAATATAATATGTATATATATATGTGTGGTATATAGGACGCACTGTGCTGATTTAAAAACGCCTTGGTAAACATAGGTCGAAAGGTCAACCGTTCCTGAGATATAAACATTTCTGTTTGCTAACATTATGATTGATAATAAATGTGTAATATCGATGTAACCGTGTAATACTATTTAGGTTCACAATTGACTGATTCTCAATGAAATCTAGCTATGTTTACTAAGGCCTTTTTACTCGGTACAGTGTGTACTGTAGCATTCAATAATTATATATATATAACATAATATAATATATCATATAAATATTGAATGCTTTTGTTCAACACCCCGTATGTCGAGTTAGTAAAAAAGAAGCGTCGAATCTTTGAAACGCATTATCGTAATTTTTGACAAGAGTGTATTTTCTTGCGAACTACATTTCGTACTTCTCTTGCAATCGGAAGTTGATTGTATAAGGCCATTCTTGTTCTGAAAGACGGACCATGGAGACGCAAAGACGATCGCCAGAGCCTCGGCGCAACCGATAATATTGCAAAATCAAAAAGTACGCACCGATTAAAATCGAATCTCCGTCGATCTGTCTTTTGCATCTCCAGAATTCAGTACCGGGAACAAAAATCGATTATTAACATTTTGTATATCCTATTTTCGCCGAAAGAAAATTGATCGCAATTCTGTCGCAGTTATTCGTTTCGACCGTAAAAAAGAAAACGCTTTCTTTTCCGTTACAACGAGGATTCGAGAACAAAAAGGAAATTTATAAAAACCCGTAGAATTCAGTGTGTCATCTCCGTGCTTCCAACATACATATTGTGTAGTTTTCTTCTCCGCTAATTATAAGTAAATAAATGTATTTAACAATCAATTACGCAGCACATTTCTTCTTCTTTTTTTTTTCATATGTTGCACGAACAAGTTAAACAGCGCTATAATTATACACGAATATAATTCTACACTCTGTCTCTCTGGGGGAACTACAACAAGGTACGAAAAGATAAACTGACAAGATTGATATCTTATTTATCGATAAAAACATAGTGCATTTACAAACAATTAAAAAATGAAAAAACACTCACACATGAATGAAACATAGTTAACAGAATTATCACTGTATAACAAAGTAGATCAGACAGACGTCTGAATCATTTTTAATTTCTTCTTTTTTAGTATTTTTTTTCTCTCGATACACTTTGTAACTCGTGAATGTTCAAAGCTCTACCTTTATTCGTAATACGATAAAGAACTATGACAATATGTAAATCGCTAATTCTGTTTTCCTCTTAATAGCTACTTGTCGTAGAATACAAGTTATTTGAGTGCATTATTCTCGACATATATCTTTTTTTCTTTCTCTCTTTCTCGCTCGCTTTCTCGCTCACTTTCTCTCTCTCTCTCTCGCTCTCTCTCTCCCGCACTATCCTAATTACGTGCGAACCTCCAATGAATTCGGTGATCTCCGTAACGAAATTAAGGCGCAAAATGCTTAAATAGCTATACAAAGTAGCTTCATCGATTATGCAAAGGGTACTGATACTGACTCACAAACGTAAGAAACTGAAACGCACATGGACTTTGCTGTTAACTTTTTTATAATAATTGTACAAAAAAGTAAAATTAATATTCTTCTTCGTCGTCAGGCGCGAGTCCATCTCCCTCTAACTCTTCAGGTGGCGCAAATCCTTCCTGTAAGAAAAAGCAATTTATGTTCAGTGTTACATAGAGATATTAGGGATGCTTCCGATAGACAAAGTTCGTTGAAACTCTACCTCCGTGGCGTAAAGAACTTCTAAGATCTTCTGTACTATAGGAGGAGGATCTCCGTTATCACAATCTTGGCACATCACTTCGATATCGCGCAATTTGCCAAAATAGAAGTCTCGTTCTTTTTCTAAACCCTCCACCGACATTTTTAACTCTACCAACTAAGGAAAAAAAGTACATTACATTGTAAAAATATATTATCGATAACCTGGAATCGATTTTAGAGTGAAATCATATTTGACTTTTTTTTTATTACCTGAGCACTGAGTTCCTCAACTTTTCCATTGTCCCCACGGTTACCGACCGGGCCGGTTTTTACTGGCGGGCGATGTGCTGGTACTTTATTAACTAGATTGAAAAATTCAACGCATTATTATGATTTGTTGTTCATTTTGTACACTAGAAATACATATACATACTATATTTACACAGATATTTTAAATACGATGGGCAAAAGAATACTTAATAGAAAATCTACATTGATGAAAAACATAATACTATGTAAACATTTGACAAGCAATATGAACATTCTGATTCTATGCGCAACAGTTTATGCAAAATACTGTGAACGAATAAATGAATAGAGGGTGAGAGGGCATGCATCAATGTGTTTACACGCTGTACTTATGGATACTTAAATGTTCAAATTGATCGAATGGTAAACGAATTATCAACAGGAGCATTTAACAAAATTTCGCTAATTTCATGCAGCAATTTAATCATACGGATAAAATTTACTTCTTTAAGTCGTTAAATAAAGGATGAACAATCAAAACTTTGTACTAGGTCCAAAGGATTCGGAAGAATCTTTGGCAAAATTCCCAATGTTTTTAATAAATCTGTTTAGATGGCTATCCTCTTTTGAACTTCTTAACAGTAAAAAAAATAAAAGAAAAAATAAGGAAAACGAGCATAAAATATTAAAAATAAATAATTACTATTGCTTATAGACTTGGGACTAGCTGTGTGTGCAGGAGCCGTAGTTCCCTCACCTGAAGTGAAATTTTTTTTCTTGTGTTATTAAGTCAAACAACCCTGTTCCTTTATTATTAATTTTAATCAGTTAGGAGAAAGCCAATGCTCAATATATGATTGATTGTTTTTTTTTTGTTTTACACATTGCTGATTTTCAAGATCTTTCTGCATTATGTTTAGTGATGTAAAATCAAATACAACATAAGAGAAAAAACATGTGAAACAATATACCGATACGAGCTGGTGCTTTAGGTAAAGCTACATCACGAGGAGTGGTGCGCTTTGGATTAGTGCCATGTGGTGCATTACTGCCACCACTTCCCATGGTCTCTCCTGCTCTCATAGCCAGAGCATCGTATGGCTCCGTTCTAGAGTAATTTGCATCAAAGAATTTCTTGAACCATTGCAGAAATTCAAAATTATCTTGAAAGCGACCTTTCACCAGCCTATCAATGGGGACAATCTGCAAATGATTAGCAAAAAAACTTGTGGAACGAAATAAAAAAAAAAGAAAGATACATTAATGAAACTGCACGACGCAAGGAAGGATCAACAAAAATTTAATTCAAGGTAGATGTTGTAACGTATAAAATGTTTGTAACATGTAATATAACACGTGTGTCATTGTAGTTGTATCATGTAAAGTATTGTCATATACAGTGGCGACCATATATTTGCAAACAATTAAAATAATAAAATTGTATCGATTCCATATAAATAAAATGGACAAGTAAACAAATATAAATTATTTTTGTGGACACATGTTTAAGTACACATTGGATTTTGTATATTTTTTTTTGTATATTTCTGTATATTTTGTATATTTCTTTGTCTCGAAATTGTAATACATTAATACTTTGTACGTAAAGATTTCATAAGAAGATTAAGGAAAATTCAGTCTGTTGTGTGTCCCTAAGACAATCTGTTACCCCCTACTTAGGTATATTTATAGACTGTTAAAAATAACAAACAGTCATCATAGCATTCTGCCTATGTAGTAAATAAGCATTTCAGAAATTTAAATCTCGTGTACTGAGTATATGATCAGAGATTTTACATGGGATCGTGTGCATGGCTAAAGATAATGCAATAATAAAATAGAACGAATTTCCTTATACTTAAAATAGATGAACAATAAGGTGATACTGTGCTATTGTAATGATCGAAATTGCAGAACTGTACATGTATATGTGGCTAAAATTGCAAAAGCTGGTGCTTCCTACTTTACAACAGTTGCCCCTAAAGTATCTAAATGTATAAGAAAAGTGCAATACATAGCCAGAATACTCGTTTATGCAGCATACAAATGATCTTTTTTTTTATCTTTATAAATATCATGATAGCATGCAAAAAATAACATGATTAGATTGACACAATAATGCTATACCCTGCTGTTGGCGAGGGGCAATGTTACGTTGTTGAATATGCTTTTGCTGCATATTTGACTGTTTTGGCTGAGGAGGCAAAAGTACCAACTGAGGATTCGACAAATTATGTGTTCCATCAACCCCAGAACCCAGTGGTATACAACCACGGGCTTCATAAGCTTCGTATTCACGGCCATCATAATTTGCATCAAAGAATTTCTTGAACCATTGTAGAAACTCAAAATTATCTTGAAAGCGGCCTTTTATTAACTTATCCACTGGTATTACCTGAACCATTTCGTGAACAATAGGATTATGATTTTCCGAAGTTTATAGTTAATGTAACAAAACTGTTTTGTGTGGAGCAATATGATTCCGTATATTGACATGGTATCTGGTTACATCATTGAAGTTTACCTTGATACCAGTGTCTTATTTCATTAATGTGTATTTCAATCTATTGTTATTGTTCAACTATATTAAGTTCTAAGTGTAAAGGGTCTTCCTATAATAAAAAGAATTGACAAAATTATATATATATATATATATTTTTTTTGCTACTGATCTGTATGGTGGTGTTTTTTAAGCACTAATGTAGAAAGACCCCTTTTGACAATACTATTATGAATTCTACAATTATTATCGGATATGTATTTTGAGTAAAGAACATTCTTCGCTCAAAACTTAAACGCTATGTTTACCTAAAGTGCTTTCGATAAATGTCATTAAGTTACGCACTTACCTTATCTACATTCATTTTTTTGAAACCCCCTTGCAGAATTTTAAAATTCTGTATATATTCATGCTCTAGATTTGTCTTGAATTTCACCCTTTTTAAAGGGACGCTACCTGGAAAGAGCATGTCCATAAATTGACAGTAAACCGCTCCAGTGCATAATTCTTCGATCTTGGTAAACGACGCTTGCAAACAGTCGTTTACCCAAGCCAGCATATCATGTCGGCTTAAGTTTTCCGTTGTTACATTTGTTGCGTAGACATTAACAGCCATCTTGGTATCCTTGATTAAATCAGTGTCTGGAAAAGAACAATGAAGGCATTATTTTCACGTAATAAGTATAAACCTATATAGACACATATAGCTTTTATCTAAGTCCGTTTAACGTAAATCTTTCCAAGAAAATTATCGGGTAACAATTTTAGTAATTGCCTTTGTTTGCAACACAAACAGAAAGGCAACAAATCATTTTTCGATAACTAAAATCGAATAACATTAGATTAATGCAACGGTACACCAATAAAAATTTAATATGTAATAGACCTTCGGGAGTGTATATATAAACATCTCGCAATCAAAAAGTAGAACTTTATCTGCAAAATATACAAGGAACCTCGTATTATCAAAAAATACTTTATAAAAATCTCCTTTGCACTATGATGTTTTATGTTATCAAAGACATAGAAATATCTTGTATGATCATGGAACTAAATCGAAGCAATTAACTATTGGAAATTATATATTTACATAACGTACGACTGCAACGGTATGGTTAACTATGGTTCTAGATTATTATTAAATTTATAACTATAATTAAATTCAATATCGATCTTGAACCGTGTCTTTATCAATAACATTGAAATACAATTTTAAAAAATATATAAACGTTAATTACAAGACCGCAGCGTTCCAAAGTCCGTCGCAATTGCGGTTAACAAATATAACACACAAATGTTTTACTATGAATAAACGATCTGGCACCGGCGACGAGCTCATAACGAGATGGTCATCCGTGGCGGTTCTTTTTCGTTTTATTGAAGATGCGAGAGAGAACAAGATTGATAAATAGAAATGGTGGGGGCGATAGTAACGAGCTGGTAATAAAAAAGACAACAGCTGTATCAAAAGAATACCGTAGATCTTTCCACGAGCAGTAAAACAATCACACGATGTTCCTTAAATGGTTCAAACTATGTCAGACATAAAAGGAATAACGTTCCATTCACTTTTTTGGTCTGAAACTGTTCATCGACAGGTTCGGTGTTCCATCTACGCAATACCAAGATATCGAAGAATGAATATATTCATTCGAGCGCGAGAGCAACCGTTGCTTTCCATCGAAAATCTATCGGGAAGTGTTCGATGTCCATAAAAAACCTTAAAATACCCGTATAATGACTTACCGAGTATTACGGAAACACTGTAACACCAATCGGGAGTGGTTCCCGTTCCCGCACGCAGATGACAAATGTATACTAGATCGTTCAAATGCGCACACAGGTGAAACTTGTAACGGTTACCTTAAAGATAAACGGATGATACGCACGTACCGTGCTAGATTTTTAGCGAACAAATTCAACCGGCGTTAAAGAAGTTCGTTGCTCCGAGATACGTTCAAAACTGAAGAATTCGCGATTTCCGTTAATAGCGGAGGCGGTGACTAAAATGTTAATCCTATCTCACAAGGCGAGATCACATTTTACCGCCATTAGCTGCGGTCCGGCCAATCGCGTCTGCTATCTTGGACAAGATCATCGAACGTGCAACTACAGTAAGCTTCGATTCCTGCACGTTTCTCTTCCTCTCTAAGCAAGCGCTTGCATCCCCACCATTTTAATGCACATCCGATTTCCAGTGAATTCTGTCCTAGTATCGAATTCATCAGCCAATCGGAGCGAAGCAATTTTTTGTCCCCGTCTTAGACTGCTCGGCAAGCTCTGGCCCAGCTGCTGCAAGTGAGGACACGTGTAACTGCATGTATGCATTGCTTTGTTCGACTTTTCCGCAAACTGATTTGAATCACAATATGATAAAACTAGTGTGTATCGAAAAATGTATCGTTAACATAATAAATATTTATCGCAATATTGTTTAAATACAAGGAGTCACTCTTTTCACCGAAATTCATTTAAGTTTTACAATTTTTGATACGTTTATGTAAATAGTTTTTAATTTGTTTATTCATATATGTATACAGGGTGTATTAGAATATATAGCAGCAGTTTCTGAAACTGAATTTTTTAGTTTGGAACACAGCAACAGCTACATACTCTGTCGCTATACTAAAAAAAGGTCAATAAATCCGAATATGCATCACCTTAATCATTTTGAATGAGCCAAAAGAAACTTTTACTCGATACAGAATATGTCATTTCGGACGATTTTGAGGACATCGAGAGAATAATTAATGCAACACAAAAAATGGTAATATATATAACTAGGAACTAAAATTGTATTAGGCACTAATATGAAGTTCTTTCTTATTTTGGTGTCCTCAAAATTATGCCTACATATTCTCGTACACCATGTATGGTAAAAACGTGACAAGTTCATTTCGCATATTTGTAATCTTCTAAGGGGAGACGATCTTTTAGGCCTAACTTTTCCATTTAATTGTTGGTAAACGTAATGCATTCTCAGCGTAGAAGTATTCCTCCGATTGTGGCTGCAACTTAGTCTTGTATTCCGTTAAGGCAGCACGGTCTGCTAACTGTACAAAAATCTACAATAACAAAAGAAAATTAATTTACGATTTTTTATACTCTATATAAAAACTATATAAAAACCTATATAAAAACTATATATATATTTAACTATATGAAAACTATATAAAACTATATACTAGTTTTTTTTTATACTCACATCTATTACTATCCTAAAACAATGCATATTTTTAGCTAATTCCAGTCTTTTTTCAACGTTATCGACATGTTTTAAATATTTCTCAAGGATGTGAGTGGGCGCCTTATTTTTATACAATATTTTGATTACGTCTTCAATTGGTAGATGTAATTGTAATTTTTTGCTTCCCAGCCAACCCTAACGAAAAATATTCTATATATTCTTTTCGTGGCTTTATTACAATACCGGCAAGTCGAATGACATTACTTTTGTCAGGAGGAGTCCGTCTACGTCTTCCCATTCGCCAGCTGATGCTCTCACTTCTAATGCGACTTTCTGATATTGTCTGGGAGATATATTATGTACCTGAGATAATATTTCAGGGGACATTAGAGTGCCTTCTGGTAAATTCCAATGGCCCTTACTAACATGTCTTAGACACTCGAGGACAGACGTGTTTAATTCTAATTCTTCATTGCCATGTATCTTCCTAACTGTTGTTTGCCATTCTAATTAATTAATTTATCTAATTAATTAAATAATTTTGAAGATATTTGATTCTTCAACAAGAAAATAATTTACCCAAGAACTTAATATACGATTGAACAAACGAAGCTTCTCTGCAGTCAGCCAAGGTCGAAAATTGTGTCTTGTAGCAATTACGAAGTTTGCTTAATAGTCTATCCGGATCGCGAGTATTTTTTATAATTATGTGTAACGTTTTCATCTAAAATGGAACGCCAAATGTATTGTTCTTGTTATGTAATTTGAGTTTTGTGGAATCTTACCGCAGCATCCACCGGTTGTCCTAGCATGCTACAAAGAAACACAAATTGATAAAACCTTGAGGATACGTTACATGGCAGGATATACAGCGTGCGTCACCTAAGATTTTTACTGAAAATATCTCAATTATTTCTAATGATAAGAGAAAATATGTAAAGAAATGGATGTTTGCCTCAGTGGGCTAATTATTGTCATAGAAGAAATTTTGCCTCAAGATTTATATTTTGATTGGTAACAGGGGATATTTCAGGTGAATATCTTAGGTGACTCGCCCTGTATATGTGTACATACGTTAAAATGTCTGTAATCTCATTTATTTGCAATCTTGTCGATAGATATCGAATATACACGTTTACTGCATCTTTTCTCTCTGCCAATATTCTTTGGACTAAAGACCTTTTCAGCGTTTTTGTGAGGAACAGAACAATCTGAAACATTATATTTCAATGTATAACATACATAAATTAGACAGAGTAATATTAACAGTATACGAGAATAAAGTAGTTACTATTAAAATTGCATTTCCATTTCCACTTGCAATAGCTGCATCCAGTAAGGCTGTTTTACTGGCAAGTGATTTATACGGTTCTAACGAGTACGATTCGCCGATTAAAATCTTTCGAAGCGTGACATCCGGTTTATGAACGATTGTTTCAGATTGAAATTTCTGCGATTTATCCGTTGCCAAAACTGTGGAATATAAAATATTTTATATGTAGCTTTTACATCACGGTTGCTACCGTTGCCATTAATTTACTAACATACTGCTGCAAAGTGTTTTCTCTGATATCACTGACAACAAGGGTTTCAACACTTTATAATCATCCGTTCTCTTCTGCGACCCTTCTGACGTTGAGATGCCACAGGTATCGGCCCACAGTTTATCTGTATCAGTATTTGACGTCTTAAACAACTGGCCCATCTATTCCAATTGAGTTGTTGTTATTGAAGACATGAAATAAACAATAATATAATATATTTTGTATTTTCTCACCTCATTGTTCTCAAAAGAGAACGACAATTTCTCTATGCTGTTCCAGTATTCCTCGTTATCTTTGACAGTGCCCATATTTATAATATTCCTTTAATTAGGTTTGTTCTTCAGTAATAATGTCGTATCGAAATTAATCACTATGATCAAATGATCTCGAAGAGGAAGTGAGAATTTTCACGCCCGAAGTTTCTGCACCTCGCGTATAGTGCTGCACCAAGCGGCGAATAACATTGTCATTTCAATATGCACGTATGTACATGTATATGTAGTGTACAATTCATATGCGATTACATATGTGATCAGGGCTCTCAGCTAGCCGACCGGCCGTTCTTGTTATTTCTTTTAATAAATAAAATTAAATGCGGAACACCGAAAAGAAACAAACAAAAATAGTAAATTATACTCTCGGAAGAGATAACAAGATTCCTGGAAATTATCGTACTTTTAAGATTATATATATATTTATATTATAAAAATATTATATTATATATATATATTATATTTATATTATATTATATTATATTATATATGATATTATTAATTCATGATTTTAAATACGTTCGAGATACTAATAGAAGATAGCAATCAAAAAAATAAAAATGGTCTCACACTGTTCGCAATGCGAGACATGTAATCTTTCCTATTGTCTAAACAATTGTACTAATAATAAGAGGAGAAGTGTCGAAGAAAATCCAAACAAATAAGACTTACATTTGCGTACAAATAAAAATTACGTTTAAAGAGAAAACCGAATCAAATAAAGAGCTATGTATACGTTCACCAACTGTATTTAAAATTTATGTCTATTAATTAGGGGTGTACAATCGGGCACTCTCGAAAATTCCGCAAAGTTCGGGTATCCGAATCGTTGTTACTCTTGTCGGACAGTTATCGTGTATATACATAGAAAGATTATGAAAACGTAAACACGATGGTTTTTTATGATTTTTCAAGAAGATTTCTGCCTTATTTCTTTCAGATTTCAATATGTTTTCGATCTCTCCAGGCTCGAATAAAAAAAAGTTGAGAAACATTATTGTTTAATTGTTTTATCATCTCAACCAATTGCAATTTTTGAAAATCATTTTTTAGCCATTATTGTTAGCCATTCTTTGGCTGAGTTATTAAAACATTTTTTTGTCCCACTGTACTCAGATAAAAAAGTTAAAAAAATGAGAATTTTTCTTTTTCTTTTCTTATCGTCTAAAAAATATTCAAACTGTTTTTGTTCCAGTTTTAAAAAAAGTTATTGCATTTTAAAACTGGTAGGAAATCGCTGTACGATTGTCATATTGGAGAATTATGTCACCCAATGATTTATAGAAGGAATAAAAATAACGAAAACAATTAAATATTGGAATCGTTAAAGTCATTTTCTATCGCTTTCATTAAACTGAATCTCTTATCGAATAACGCACAATTTCTCGTCGGTATATCGAATTTTATAGTGCCAAGAAGATAACGCGTATGTACTTGAATGTTTATGTAATACGATAAAAGAAGCGCAGCTCTGATATTTTCGGGTTTAAATAAGCGCGTGCGAAGCTACGTGTATCACTGTTTTATTAAGCTGGTCAACCGATTCGGTTGCGAAAATATTGGTCGGTAATTACAGAATAATTTTTTTTAATAAACAATGGTTGTAATCACAGACGTCAATGTGAAGGACGTGAGGTTCCCGACATCGCTATTGGCAGATGGCAGCGATGCTATGGTAAGCAAGTTATACTTAATTAAATTAATTATTTATATTAATTATTGCTGTTATAATCCTATTAGCTCTTAAATGTGTAATTGTTTTTTTTTTAATGAAATAAAAAAACCAAATATTCATTAATATATATTAATATATAATATAATATATTCAATATAATATATATATTCATATTATATTACATTCATATATAATATATTATATATATAATATAACATATTCATACAAATAATTTAATATTATTTACATGAAAAAATTAAAACATTTTTCTCATTATATTGATCTACAGCATACTGATCCCGACTATTCCTGTGCCTATGTGACTATAAAGACAGACAAAGGTTTCGAGGGATATGGTTTGACGTTCACTTTGGGCAGAGGAACAGAAATTGGTAATTTAGTAATTAATTTTTATGAAAGTTACATCAAATCTATGTTTTAATAGTGATCTATATTTTGAATATATACGTCTTAAAATGTTCTAAATAAATAAATCTATGTTTGAATAATATCAATGGATGATTTGATTAATAATTATGATCATTTCCAAATGTACTTTCAGTTGTTCAAGCATGCAAATCGATGGCTCATCTGATAAGGGGCCAGGATACTGACAAGATATTTGCTGATTTTGGATCAGTTTGGAGAAAGCTAACCAGCGATACGCAATTAAGATGGGCAAGTGTTGCACACTAGAATAAACAAATTGTAAGATCAATATTTTTATACAATCTAACAAATTATTATGGAACACAGTTGGGACCGGAAAAAGGTGTCACTCATCTTGCTACCGCAGCTATAGTGAACGCATTGTGGGACTTGTGGGCCCGATTGGAAAACAAACCGGTCTGGAAACTGCTGGTTGATTTGACTCCTGAGCAATTAGTCTCGACGATAGACTTCAGATATATGTAAGTTGAAGCTAATCGAATGTTAAAGAAATAAGAGATACGTTTACTTATATTTTTCATAAAACAGCACGGATGTTGTTACCAAAGAGGAAGCCATACAGATGCTTAGGGACAGTGAAAACGGGAAGAAGGAACGGCAAGAATGGCTGAAGAAAAACGGTTACCCAGCGTACACCACGCAAGTGGGCTGGCTCGGGTACAACGACGAGAAAGTGAAAACACTTTGCAGGAAGTACATGGATCTTGGTTTTACAGCTTTTAAAGCGAAGGTTGGCCAGAATTTAAAGGACGACGTCAAGAGATGCCGACTAATACGCGAAATGATTGGGAATAAAAACAAATTGATGGTGGATGCGAATCAAGTGTGGGACGTCGATCAGTCCATAGAATGGATGAAAGAGTTGAAAGAATTTAAGCCGCTTTGGATCGAGGAGCCCACATCGCCGGACGACATTTTGGGCCACGCGAAAATCGCCGAAGCATTAAGGCCGTACGGCATCGGCGTCGCTACTGGCGAAATGTGTGCTAATCGCGTGATGTTTAAACAATTGTTGCAAGCCAAGGCGATTGATTACTGTCAGATCGACTCGGCTAGAATTGGGGGGATCAACGAGATATTGTCTGTATATTTCATGGCCAAGAAACTGGGAGGTGAGTTAGTTGCGTGCAGACTACTGAACGTTTGAGAGATCTAAATTCCACCGAACATTTGTTTGCAGTTCCTGTGTGCCCGCATGCTGGAGGAATAGGTCTTTGCGAGATGGTTCAACATCTTCAAATGTGGGACTTCGTTTCCCTCAGTCGAACTACCGAGGAACGCGTGATAGAATACGTTGACCAGCAGCACGAACATTTCGTAGAACCTGTGAGAATGCAGAACGCTTCCTACATGCCACCCATGTCACCAGGATATTCTACTAAATTGACCGATCAATGTCTTGACAATTACGTTCACCCTGACGGCGAACAGTGGAAGCAACTGCGTGCGAAAGGACTCTTCCAAAAATCTTATAATTAATACTGTCATGTATTGATTTTATATTGATCTCATACTTGTTATATTAACATGAATGTATATATCATAGAAAAGAAAGAGAAATATAAAAATTTCTAAACGATCGTTAGAATTATTGTAACATTAAAAATTATACATTGCTTACATGTACGTGTAACAATAATATTGTCCCCACAAGTACATATCCCGACTATTGAACCATCGTACGCTGATCTTCAAGATAGCTTCAGTGTCCATGCTAGGACGTAACACGAATGAGACATTAACTGCACGAATGCAACAGCGATTTCACGTAGTCAGTCTGCAAGACGTAATGATTTACATAGGTAAAGCCAATAAGAATGATAGATTTTATACATTATATACGTACACTAACGAACCAGTAGGAGTTCGGTTTGAACATAAATCTCCTGAGGGCAGACATGTTTTCTATGGGAGAGATAACATGTAAATGTAGATGGTTTACTGTATTAAATGGTGGCCAATGGAATCCTGTGCGTGTGTTTCCAGGATCAAGTCCTTGCCTTTCTATTATCGTATCCACGATGGAGACAATTTTGTCATCTAAAATTTCTATTATTTTTTAGACTGTTCACAAGCAACGTCTTCAAAGATAAATGAAAAACATTTGAACCAAATAGGACTTACAAAGTTCTGCATCTTCGATTTTAAGTTCCTTCGCATTACGTATATGCTTATTTGGCAGTATTAAATAGTGGTGAGTCGAAACTGGATTAATGTCTTTGATGCATGTTACGTAATCATCCTGAAACATAATTGTTTTACGGTTTTTTACACATTATGACAGATGAGGTTAAAATTTTCGTACCTCGTAAATCTTTTCACTCGGCTCCTTATTATCTATGATTTTGCAAAATAAGCAATTTCCTAGACGAGTCTCCATACGGTAATATAATAATAATTACGTTGGCATCCGATGGAAATAATGAGATTTTACTGGTGTCGTTTACTTTGGACTTCGGAATTTTATTTAAACTTAATCACTAATCACTCCACCAATTGTCGGAAGTGGGAGTACACCTACAGTCGATTACAGAAGTTTCTGTATGTTTTTTTAAGGGAGAGTATATAACTTTTTAAAATCGATTCAGAATTTGGAACTAATCGACTCGAGTTTGTTGGAGATATTGGAACGAATAGTTTACTAGATTCTTATATTAATAATTTACTATTAATAAATATATAAATAATAAAAGTATCATTATTAATAGTTTACTCTGTGGATTCAACTTTTTTCCAAAAATTTATCTTGGATCGAAATGGTGAAAATCATTTGAAACGTTTTTTAAAACGAACTATAGTTTAGGGGATGATTAAGTGCGTTTCTTCAAATGGATCATCCTATACAAAAAAAGTACATATTTGTGTGTAAACAAATGGACTCGAATCTACAAAACGTATTTTAAAAATGTTTATTAAGGTACAGATGAAAAAGCTGCAAAAACTGACTTTTACTATCGTCTTCGC